AGATCTACTCTGCTGCCTGTGGCTATGGATTCACACTGCTTTCCTCCAGCACCACAGACATTACCAAGGTCTGGGGGACGGGACTCAACAAGGACTCTCAGATTGGATTTCATCAGAGCAGGAAGGATCGCTGTAAGTACCTTGGCTGTGTTTACTCGCTTCATTGTTCATGCCCACAATTATTGTTCTAATTCTGTGCTGCTTTTCCTCCCTGAAGAGAACTAAAGCGGTTTACGGAGAACTCCAAATAGCTAAGTCATTTAAACAGACAAAGACAATGGAAATTATGCACAGGGTGAAGACAGTGGACAAAGATAACTTTTTCCTCCCTCTCCCAAAATACTAGAATCCGAGGGCATCCAGTGAAGCTGATGGGCAGTAGATTCGGGATGGACAAAAGGAAATACTTATTTACACAGTGATTAAATGTGGAATTCACTGCCAGAGGATGTAGTGATTGCCATAGGAATAAACAGCTTTAAAAGGGGATTAGATAGAGTTCTGGGGAATAGGTCTATCAATGGCTACTAGCCATAGTGACTGACGGGAACCTCCACATTCAGAGGCACTAAACCTCTGAATCCCAGAGACAGTAGGCAACATCAGGGGAAGGCCTGAGGCTCTATGCCGTGTTGTTGGACCTCCAGAGGAACTGCTTGGTCGCTGTGTGAGACAGGATGCTGGACTAGATGGACCTCTGGTCTGATCCAGCAGGGCTCTTCTTATGTTCTTAAATCCAAATGAATCTGGTCTGATCTTGGTCTGCCTACTGCCCGCCTCAGGCAGCAGCTCATGGGCTAAGAGGCCTTTGGCAGTGTCCTTTGGTTTGTGGCGAAGGCCTCACACTTCTAGAGTATAAACTTTGGTTTTTCACTTCCAGGTTAAACATTTTGCCATGGTAAATTGAGAACCAATGTGTTGTACTGGGTAGAGTGCCGAACCTCTGGGCAGACTCTCCTGCAATGCTTGACTGCTGCAAGCAAGGTTGCTCTGCTGTGCTGAAGCCACAATGGAGTGGCTCCGCCCACTCCCTCCCCCAGCACTCCCTCCCTTGCATCAGTTGTTTGCGGGCTGCATAATAGACCTAGACGGGCCAGTTCCTGCCCTCGGGCCTTATGTTTAACACCCATGATGTAGAAGTTTGCTATTAACAGTAGAATGTTTTGGAGGTCCTTAATGCACAGGGTTGCCATAAGTTGGAAGCAACTAGACAGCACTTCTGTCTCTCTGTCTCTGTCTCTCTGTCTCTGTCTCTCTGTCTCTCTCTCTCTCTCTCTCTCTCTCTCTCTCTCTCTCTCTCTCTCTCTCACACACACACACACACACACACACACACACACACGGATATTTATATCCCCAATTTTTCTCCAGTGGGACCCCTTAGTGCAGAGGTATCGAACTCATTTGTTACGAGGGCTGGATCTTACATAAATGTCACTTTGTTGGGCTGGCTTATGTGTGCTATAGAACGTAATGCCAGGTACCAGAGATATAAACTGTATAAAGGACAGCAGTGGGTAAGTTCTGAGTCGGTGTGTCCTCAGTGCAAGGCCCCATGGGCTGGGTGGGAGGTGCAAAGGAAAACCCACATGGGTGGACTGGGGAGCCAGCAGTGCAGCACTGGGCAGATGCTCCCACGCTGTTTGACTGCTGCAGATGAGGCTGTTCCGCCATTCTGAAGCCACAATCGGAGTGGCTCTGCCCACTCTGCCCCCCAGCAGTCTTCTGTCCCTTCCCTTGCACTAGATGCTCGTGGGTTGCCTAAGAGCCCTGAACGGGCCAGTTCCAGCCCCCGGGCCTTATGTTTGACACCCCTGTCTTGGTGGCTTAGATTGTTCTCCTTCCCTCTCTTTTCTCTTCACAACAACCCCATGGAGTAGAGTAGGCTGAAAGTGTGTGACTGACACAAGGCCACCCAGCATGCTCCCGTGGTTCAACCTGGTTCTCCTAGATCCTAAGTCAGATGCTATAACCAGTACACTGTTCTGGTCAGCCATTGTTGGAAATGGGATACTAGGGTACATTGACCTTTGGCCTGATCCAGCATGGTCTTCTTACATTCTTTGGACGTTTTTGTTTTTGAGTCAAACTGGTTGAAGGTGCTCACAGGCATATTCTTGAGTCATCTTTTCTCCTCCCCCCTTCAGCACGTGGTTATGAATACGTCCTGGAGCCAAGCCCCGTTCCGTTGCCCCTGGACAAGCCCCAAGAGACCCGAGTTGTGCAGGTGTCATGTGGCAGAGCACACTCCTTGGTGCTAACAAGTACCGAAGGAGGTAAGCTGATAGCATTGCATATCCCGAAAAAGTGCAGAACCTCACAGGTCTACGCCAGTATTTCTTTGGCTGCCTGGATCCAGCGTCCCCTTAATTCAAGTTTTGATATTGGCTGGAATGCTGGCTTCTCAGGCTGTTAGAGTAATTTTTCAAAAAATGAAAATTACCAATGTTTGGGTAAGGGTAGAGATGTAAAATTCCTGGAAATTTTGAAGCCATGGGGGTGGGGGAATTGGAAATTTGGGGGGGGGGGGAGATTGACATTTATGCACTACTCATGTTCCTCTCAAAACAAAACTATTTTTCTGATTTAACAATATACAATGAATCGTTTATAACTTAGTGAGTATATAGCATTGTGCTTTAACAGTATATAATGCATCATTTGTAACTTAGAGAGTATATCACATCTTGCTATTGGTCACATTTATTGGATTAAAAAGTATAAATGTCTTTGTTTTCTGTAGCATAAATTGTGAATACACCAGTACTTGAGAAAGAGTTGAAAATTGCTGGTCCGTATGCTCCCATAGCACATGTATATTTATTTATCTGCCATTTCAGAGGCAGAAAAAATAAAAGCTGAAGGCAGAAAAAAAATGAGTAGTCAGCAAAAAAGTGTATGTATTTGTTCAGCTTAACAGTCCCAAAAGTATAGACGAGCAATTAACCCGCGAGACTAAATGCACTACCCTCGGTCGCGTGTTGGGCATACTTTCTCAAATAGATATTATCAGGGGTCGTTTAGTAGAAAACGAGCTAGGGGAACTCATTAGCATAACTCATTAGCATATGCCACACCCCCTGACATCACCGGAAGTGTGTCATAAGGCCACACCCCCTGACATCGCTGGAAGTGTGTCATAAGGCTACACCCCCGCCCCCAACGGTCCCAGCCGCCGCTGGTGGCCTTGCAGCTCCACTGCCGAGCCCCATGAGGGGCCCGGTGGTGGACCTGCAGGGCCGGCGGGAGTGCAAGGAAGCCCCGCGAAGGCTCTCCCTGGCCCCAGGCAGGCAGGGGTGGGGAGAGGCAGGGAGGAAGCAACTTACCCTCCCTCTTCTCCTGCCTCCTCCTGGCTGAATGAGGGCCGGAAGCGGGGCGGCCGGAAGCAGGGGGCGGGGCTTCACCATGTGCCCCGCCCCCTGTACCTCACCCGAGGGAACTGCGATCCCCCGCGATCCCCCCCAAAATGACCTCTGGATATTATGGCTGTGGTTTGGGTGTTACCGAATCTGTAAGCCATGTTTTATTTGAATGCCCCTGGTACAACAACGAGAGACAGAAATGAATTAAACCTCTGATACTACAGTGGCCAGAGCCTTCAGTTTATATTTTTGTTAGGGTTGCCAAGTGAAAAAATCGCCGCAGCGGGGGACTCCCGGCTTGCGGCTTGAGCGCGTGCGTGCCGCATGCACGTCACCAGGAAGTGACATGACGCCGCCGGGCATGCTGGGGGCAGGGCCACGACTGTCTGAGGGAAGTGTTCCTTCGGATGGTCGTGGCCCCGCCCCCAGCGTGCCCGGTGGCGTCACGTCACTTCCTGGTGATGTGCACGTGGGGGTGGGGTCCCCCCCGGGGCCCGATCCCCCGCCGGTGGGGATCGGGTCTCTGGGGCGGGGGTTTTCCCCGCCCCCCGGGGGGATTTGGCAAGCCTAATTTTTGTCCCTAAGTTATTAGCAGATTCAAGAGTAGAAAATTAACTCATTTTAGCATTAACCCTCTCTGGCCTGAATTCTTTCCTTCTTCCTCATATTCCCAGTTATATTTGACAAATACTACTTAAGACCTATAGGTCAGAGGAGTAGAGAGAGAGAGAGAGAGTATTATTTGGACAGAAATTCTTTCATAGAGTCACAGAAAGTAGGACTGCCAGCATATTTGTATATTAAATTAGATTTTATAAAACTGAAAACACCGAACTCTCTAATAATGTATTATCATAAAACATAGTATAGCATATTGTAGTCAGAATTATTTAGAATCCTTGAAAATGTTGTTTATGTCTACAGTATGAGAGCTATTTTATGGTGATCCTCAAACTTTCTCAGTTTCTCCTTTGGAACGACCAAAATGCTTTGTAAGGCAAGGTTTTTTTTCCCCCCACTCAGAAAGAGAAAATATTTCCTAGGAGGGATTCCCGCCCCCCCAAGGGCTCTCCCAGATTTTCCAAGCCGAGGGAGTGAGGCTACACAGACAGAGTGATGGTGGCTCAGTGGTAGAGCAACTGTCTGCTGTGTAGAAGCTCCTGGGTCCGTCTCACCAATGAAGGATCTCCTGGAGTAGATGCTAGGAAAGACCTTTCTCCACCTGAGACCCTGGAGAGCCCATGGCCTGTTGGAATCGACAGTGCCGAGCTGGAGAGCTCGAGAGGCCTACCTTGCTAGAAGGGCAGCTTCAGATGAGCGTGGGAAAAGCTACTGCTCGTCTGTGTCCCTCTGAAAGGATGTTTGGTGCTTTGTGAGGTTTGTTTGACCACATCACCTGGCTCTGTTTCAGTCTTCAGCATGGGCAACAATGCTTACGGACAGTGTGGCCGAAAGGTGGTCGATGGGGAAATTTACAGGTGAGATCTCTTCCAGTCCGGGAGGGGTCATCATGTCTGGGCGGCAGAGCTCACCCAGTGAGCTTCAGGGCAGTGTGGGAATTTGAATGCAGAGAAGAGAGAGAGATTGGATGTGTACCCCACCCTTCACTACCCGAAGGAGTCTCAGAGCGGTTTACAGTCGCGTCCCCTCCCCACAACAGACACCCTGTGAGGTAGGTGGGACTGAGAGAGCTCTCCCGAGAACTGCCCTTGAGAGAACAGCTCTGAAAGAACTTATGAGTCTGACCCAAGATCACACCAGCAGCTGTAAGTGGAGGAGTGGGGAATCAAACGGGGTTCTCCCAGTTTAGAGTCCGCGCTCCTAACCACTACACCAGATTGGCTCACCCAGGACTGCCAAATCCTTATTTGGTATTCTAACCACTTCACAGTGCTCTCCGCATCCTGAGGGGAAACCCCCCCCCCAATAGAAATCTTTCTGGCTCAACATGATAACTGCTTAATTTTTGGTACCTGCCATTGCCTAAAGCAGGGATCCCCCACCCTTTTTGAGACTGTGGGCACCTTTGCAGTTCTTGACATAGCATGGTGGGCACAGTCACAAAATGGATGTCACAGGAGGCGGAGCCAGCCACCAAACCTTCTGCCGTGCAGTGAGGAGTCGGGCTGTGGTGGCCCCTGCTGTTGAGCCAACGTTGTTAAAAACCTGCACAGCCAGTCAGAAGCCTCGCTGGGCAAAAACCTCCCCTGGCCCTGCCCCCTTTCTGAAAACCCTTGGCGGGTGCCAGGCAACGTGTCAGAGGGAGGCCCCCCCCCCCCCGGTCTAGAGTGACGCAGAATGGATATCTGTAACAGCCCACATAGCAGGTCAAGACTATAGTTCTTGGTCGTGTGTAAATCTTGTTACTGTTGTGTTCTTTTAAACGCACAAATAAACACATACTTTAAATCCCTTCACTGCCTTGTTCTCTTATACAGCGAAAGCCAGCAGATTCATCGACTGCGGGGATTTGAGGATCGAGTCGTTCAGGTAAGAAATCCATTGCTGGTGTTTTTCAAAGGAAGCTCTCAGTCCCGGGCATGCCACCCTGGTCGCTGAGGATGATTTCTGACTGCGTTCACCCAAAACCCTTGAGTTGAATTTGTAGACACTTAAGGTTGGGTTCAGACCGAATGCCAAATTCAGTTTAATTTAGCCAACCGTAATCCACGAAGGTAGGATCTGAAGGAGGCTTGTATTAACCACATCTAAATTGGTTTATTAACCACCGGAAAACGGACTGCCTTGTAGGGCTGTTGTGTAGCCTGTTGGCTAGGGCTGCCAGGTCCAAAAGAGAAGCTGATGGGGGACTTACCCGGACACTCCTGGAGGGGGGAGAGAAGAAGCACGCTGTGCCTGAGTCATCTCCTGGAAGTGATGTAGGTACGTCAATGACGCTGGGGGGCGACACTCTGTTTTTTGGGCAAAACTCAATGGTTTGAAGCTATTCCCCCCCCCAAAAAAGAGGGGGGGGAATCTAAACCAACAAAGCACAAACCTCCAAAGGAAGTTTAGAAAACTTATTGAGGGCCAAAATATTTTACTGTACCCAAATATATTTACTTCCATTATATTTTTGTATGGAATTTTCCATTGAATTATTAGATATTAATCTAAAACATTTTTTTTGTCTTTCTCTACAGCATTCCAATGTTGTTCCTGTTTTATTTATTGTTAATTGCCTTACATGTGTTACAGGGACTCTGTCGCTTGTTGTGTTTTGCACTATTTGACTTCTGAAGAAGGCTCTTGTGAGCCGAAACGCGTCAGGTCATATACTGTCCTTTTGTGCGTGTGTATTTGTAACTCTGAACATTTTATGAGGCTTTATTTGGGCCCCTACTAGGTTTTTATATGTCTTTGTAATAAACACTCTTTTGTACACTTACTTATGTTTTTAACCTTTGGCCCTCGATAAGTTTTCTAAACTTCCTTTGGAGGTTTAAACTAATTCCACCATAGAGTTTTCCCCCAAACCCAGAGCGTCGCCCCTGATATCACCGACACGCCTACGGCACTTCCGGGTGACGTTGGAACATTACGTTTGGGGTGGTAACACTCCCCCGCCGGCCAGTTTGCCAGTGCCATGGGGAAACACTGGAAACCAGGTTGATCCCCGGCATGCGGAGGGTGGGTGGGTGGGGGAACTGGCAACCCTGTTGTTGGCCTATCATGGTGGCTGGTTGTAACAGGAAAGTGGACTAGATGGACCCACTTGTCTAATCCAGCCAGGCTCTTCTTATATTGTGTAAATGTAGATGCTTTCAGAGGGTGGCTGTGTTGGCCTGCAGTACAACAGCTGGATTCAAGTCCCGTTTGGTGTAGTGAGAGACGGTTTGGTGTAGTGGTTAAGTGTGCGGACTCTGATCTGGGAGAACCGGGTTTGATTCCCCACTCCTCCACTTGCACCTGGCTGGATGACCTTGGGCAAGCCGTGGTTCTAATAATGAGCCGTTCTTGAAAAAGAGCAGTTTCTGTCAGAGCTCTCTCAGCCCCACCTACCTCACAGGGTGTCTCTTGTGGGGAGGGGAAGGGAAAGGAGTTTGTAAGCTGCTCTGAGACTCCCTTGGGTAGTGAAGTATAAATCCAATCTCCTCCTCCTCCTCCCCTTCCCCCTCTTCCTCCTCCTCCTCCTTCTTCCTGCTCTGAGACTCCAAGTGAAGGGCGGGGTATAAATCCATTCTCTTCTTCTTCCAGGGCTGTTGTGAGGCTTTCAGCAAGGCAACCTTGCGTGAAGTGTGTTAAAACACTGAAAAAAAGCTGTAAAAGTGCTGGTTTTGTTAGGTATTGTTGGTCTCTGTGGGGTGCTGTCGTACAGACATCTTAAAAATATTTTTCGAATGAGATCGTATTCAGGATTCTTCTTCGCTTTTGCTTCTCCACCCTGCCCCCCTTTGGTTTGTTGTCGACAGGTTGCCTGCGGGCAGGACCACAGTCTCTTTCGGACCGAGAGGGGAGATGTCTACTCCTGTGGCTGGGGAGCCGACGGCCAAACAGGTAGGAGGACAGAGGTGAGCCGGGTCTTGGGGCCTCAGTGGCCGGGGGCCGCAGAAACACGAGAGCCGGATGGCACCTCTCGTTCTGCCCCCCAAGCCAGAGGGATGACTGAGCCAGGAGCAGGGAGCGGAAGAGGCCGTGGAAATGGGTCAAGCGAGAACCACCCTTTGGATTTTGGAAGACTCAGAGCCATGTATCTCCCCCTCCATTTTCTCTTTGGGTGCGGTCAGACGGCGTGCCGGAGCGATTTAAACTACTCCGGTTCCAGTCGGATTGTATTTGATCCGGGACAACTGCGGTCACATTACCCTCTCTCGCAGCGCAGCACATCGCTCCTGGGCGTCCACACAGCAGCGTGTGTCGGCGGGTTTTTAAAAAAAATTTTTTTCACAGTTTGCACATGCACAGAACAAATTATCCCAAAAAGAATGGCCTGAAGTGAAGACTTCCCTTGAAACCTTTATAGCGAAACTGGCCTCCGTGAGGTCCCGGACTCATCTAAAGCCTAAAACTAGGCACTGTTTTTTTATTCGTTTTATTAACGGCGGGGCAAAGCTTTGCCCAAGTGCATATCGCCGATGCCAAAAATAATAATAATAATGGTGGACGAAAAGCAGAAGCCTCGGGCTTCCAAGCGGAAGTGGCTCTACACCGGCGGAGGCGCGATCACACAGCAGAAAAATGCAGCTAGAACCGGAGCACCAGGAAAACACCACTTGGGGACCTGGTAGCAGAATACTCTGGTTTAAAGGGTGTTTGAGCTGGTTGGCAACAGCTAGGGATGGGAGGCAGATGTTGGCTGTGTGATCGTGTGTAAGTAGTCCGTTTCTAACCGGTATGTATACCAGCTCAAATGGCCTGTCTGAACGTGCCCTTTCTTTCTGTTGTTTTTCGCTCATTGCCTTAGATTGGAAGTCCCCGAGAGTCAGAGGCCTGTTTGTTTTTGACCTAAGTAACTTTGTAAGGCTTCAAGAGCCAGTTTGATGTCGTGGTTAGGCGCGCGGGCTGTAATCTGGGAGAACCGGGTTTGATTCCGCGCTCTTCCACATGCAACTGCTGGCGTGACCTTGGGTCAGTCACAAGTTCCCTCAGAGCTGTTCTCTCATGAGCAGTCCTCGAAAGACCTCGCAGGGTGCCTGTTCTGGGGAGGGGCAGGGAAAGGAGATAGTAAGCCATTCTGAGACTCCTTCAGGTCGTGAAGGGCAGAGTATAAACCCAATCTCCTCTTCTTCTCTTCATCTCCTGCTTGGTGGCGGAAGGGGCTATCAAATCACAACTGACTCCTGGTGGCCCCCTGATGTTTTCAAGGCAAAAGATGTTCAGAGGTGGTTTGCCAATTGCCATTGCCTTTGCGTAGTGACCCTGGACTTCCTTGGAGGTCTCCCATCCAAATACTGGGCACGGCTGGCCCTGCTTAGTTTCCGAGATCTGACAGGGTCGGGCTAGTCTGGGACATCCAGGCCAGGGCACATGGACTACTTATCAGAGATTAAATATCCGGGGTGGGGGTGGGGGGTGGAGTCAAAGGAAAGTTGTTCCCTGAGGAAATTTTGCCAGCTGAGGAAATTTTCTTGTCCCGCTGTATCATTTCTCTGCTTCTGGCCGAGGGGCGAGGGACGCAAAAGGCCCTGGAGTCCTTCAAGAAGGGTGGCTAGGTTCTGCGGCCAGGTATATAAGGAACGCGAAAAGCGAGGCCAATAGGCCATATCTCTAGTTTTATCCAAAATTGTTTTAAACTGACTTTTCGAATGGTTTAAAAGGTTTGAACTGTAGTTTTCCTTTTTCCTTTATATTTCGTATCACTTATAAGTGTTTTATGTTACTAAGGTTTTTACTGGCTCATAACCAGCTACGATAGTATTGGGAATTTTTCTATTTGTCTTTTAAATTGTTACGTACTGGTCAAAGACCATAATAGTAAACTGACTGACTGACTGACACTGGAATCCCACCTACCAGTGTTCCCTCTAAGCTGTGGAATCTTGTGAGCAAAAATTCTACTGTGTGAGCTCCTGGCATTCAAGTTGAGAGCGAGCGATTTGGCTACTGAATAAATTAGTTTATTCAGGAAGGACAAAGACCTGAACAAAGACCTTTGTCCTGAACAAAGACAAAAATGTGCAAGCCGGAGGCGAAAAAACTGTGAGCTAGCTCACACTCACTCAGCTTAGAGGGAACACTGCCACCCCCCACTCGCCGGAAGCTCTTACCTGCCCATAGACATTTAACCAGCCCTGGTTTTGATATTTACACTTGGCGGCAGTGTTCCCTCTAAGCGGAGTTAGTGTGAGCCAGCTCACAGTTTTGTAGCCTCCAGTTCACAGATTTTTGTCTTTGCTCAGGAAGGAGGGCTCCAGAGCAAACTAATTTATGCAGTAGCCACATCACCCGCTCACAACTTTAATGCCAGCAGCTCACAAAGTAGGATTTTTGCTCACAAGACTCCACAGCTTAGAGGGAACATTGCTTGGCGGTTGTCGTTCTCTGCCTCGGTCTGTCTGAGCATCTACTGGTGCCCCGACAGGCTGCTCCTCTGTCTGTCACATGAACACAGGAAGCTGCCCTTTTCTGAATCAGACCACTGGACTCTCTCAGAGTCAGTATCGTCTTCTCAGACTGGCTGTGGCTCTCCAGGGTCTCAGGTGGAGGTCTTCCCCATCACCTACTATCTGGGCCTTTCTTTTCTTTTCTTTTTTTAAAAAATATTTTAATTACTTTTCAACACTTATATATAATACAAACTAATATATATATATTCATATTATGAGAGACTCCCAACAGCATTGCTTCTTATAACCGAAAAAAAATATATACATTTGCTTAAACCTTCAGCCTTTATCTTTTATCCATTTATAGAATTTAGACCAGGTGTCTTCAAAGAGTTTCTCTTCTTTCCCTTTTAGCATTGTTGTTAGTTTATCCATTTCAGCCACATTTAGTAACTGATATATAAACTCTGCTCTATCCGGAACTTTATCTACTTTCCAGTATTCTAGCGTACAAAATTCTGGCTGCCGTTACACTATGAATCAAAATTATTTTATCAGCTTTCCCATATATTTCTGGTATCATGTTAAGAAGAAACAGTTCTGGTTTTAATGGTATTGGAGATTGAATGATATCTTGTAGTATTTTTTGTATCATCCGCCAAAAACTCTTTGCCTTACCACATGTCCACCACATGTGGAAATACGTGCCCACATTCTGTTTACATTTCCAGCATATATTCGATATTGCTGTAAAATATTTAGCTAACCTTGCTTGATATAGATACCATCTACGCAGTATCTGGTCCTTTCAATGGAGATGTTGGGGATTGAACCTGGGACCTTCTGCTTGCCAAACAGTTGATCTTCCGCTGAGCCAAGGGTGCCTCCTCTGTCCTGGTGCTGAGATGCCACAGGTCTGGTGGGTGGGCCTTTCCAGCTCGACTTCCTTAGACCCTTTAGCTGGAGAGGGAACTGGGGACCTTCTGAGCGGCAAGCAGCCCCTCTAGTTTTAAATCTGTCTTCTGCTGCTCTGGACTTTGGGACCATCTCTGGCTCATTGCTGTGCTTGAAGGTCTTTCCCAGCCCAGGATCCTGAAACTTGGATAGATAGTGGCCAGAAATGAAACCATACATTCCAGTTTGTATGCTCCCCCACCTCTCCATGGCAAACAAGCTCTAGGCAGCTGGCATGCAAGGTGTGTGCCCTGTGGAACCTCGTGCCACTGCAGATTTGCAGAAAAGAAAATCAATACAGCC